AAAAATGCTTCAAAATATCCGAAATGCGGTAAAATGTCACAAAATGCCTAAAATTACCTAAAATGTCATTAAATACCAAAAATGAAAAAAATGGCTAAAAGGTGCCAAAATCCATAACATGCCTAAAATCACTCAAAATGCCAAAAATGTCCCAAAATACTCAAAATGCCTTAAATGCAGTGAAATGCCCCGAAATGCTTAGAATGCCCCAAAATACCTAAAATGCGCAAAAATGGCTAAAACGCCCAAAATTCCATTACATGCCCTAATATCACCCGAAATGCAAAACTGTCGCAAAATACTCAAACTGTCCAAAATGCACCGAAATGTTCCAAAATGATTAAAATGCCCCAAAATACCTAAAATGCGCAAAAATAGCTAAAACGCACTAAAATCCATAACATGCCCTAATATCACCCAAATTGCCCAAATTGCCCAATTTACTCAAAATTCCCAAAATGATGTAAAATGTCTAAAATGGCTTAAAATGCGTTAAGTCACCCAATATGCCTAAAACGCACTAAATCACCACAAAATAACTAAAACGCAGTAAAATGAAAAAGCCTAAAATGCCTAAAATTACCTAAAATGCCATTAAAAACCATAAATGAAAAAAATGGCTAAAAGGTGCCAAGATCCATAACATGCCCTAAAATCACTTGAAATGACAAAATGTCCCAAAATACTCAAAATTACCAAAATAGAGGGTAATGTCCCAAAATGCTTAAAATGCCCAAAAATACCTAAAATGCGCAAAAATGGCTAAAATTTCCCAAAATCCATAACATGCCCTAATAAAACCCGAAATGCCAACATTGGCCCAAAATACTCAAAATGCCCAAAATGCAGCAAAATGTCCCAAAATGATTAAAATGCCCCAAAGTACCTAAAATGCGCAAAAATGGCTAAAACGCCCCAAAATCCATAACATGCCCTAATATCACCCGAATTCCCTAAAATGCCCAATTTACTCAAAATTCCCAATATGATGTAAATTTTGAGTATTTTGGGACATTTTTGGCATTTTGAGTGATTTTAGGCATGTTATGGATTTTGGCACCTTTTAGCTATTTTTTTCATTTTTGGTATTTAATGACATTTTAGGTAATTTTAGTAATTTTGTGACATTTTACCGCATTTCGGATATTGGAAGCATTTTTTTCATTTTACTGCGTTTTAGGTATTTTGTGGTGATTTTGTGCATTTTAGGCATATTGGGTGATTTAACGCATTTTAGGCTATTTTAGACATTTTACATCTTTTTAGGCGATTTTAGGGTATGTTATAGATTTTGGCATGTTTTAGCTATTTTTGTGCATTTTAGGTATTTTGGGGCATTTTCAAAATTTTGAGGCATTTCGCTGCATTTGGGGCATTTTGAGTATTTTGAGGCATTTCGGCTGATCTTAGGGCATGTTATGGATTTTGGTGCATTTTAGTCATTTTTTGCGCATTTTAGGTATTTAAGCATTTTAGGTAATTTTTAAGCATTTTGGGGCATTTTAACCATTTTGAGACATTTCGCTGCATTTTGGGCGTATTAAGTATCTTGGGCATTTTTGGCAATTCGGGTGATAATAGGGCATGTTATGGATTTTGGGGCGTTTTAGCCATTTTTGCGCATTTTAGGTATTTTGAGGCATTTTAAGCATTTTGAGACATTTTGCTGCATTTTGGGCATATTGAGTATCTTAGGGCATTTTTGGCAATTTGGGTGATAATAGGGCATGTTATGGATTTTGGGGCGTTTTAGACATTTTTGCCCATTTTAGGCATTTTAGGCATTTTGTGACATTTTACCGCATTTAGGATATTTGAAGATTTTTTTCAGTTTATCGCGTTTTAGGTTTTGTGATGATTTAGTGCGTTTTAAGCATTGGGCGATTTAACGCATTTTAGGCTATTTTAGCTTTTTAAATACCTTCTACATGTTATTTTTATGATCCACTGTATAAATACAAATACAAAAATATAAAAACAGTCGAGTAATCTTCCCATGTGCTCGGTAATATTTAGAGTCATCGCCTAATCCATAATGCAACTCCTTTTTGAATAGTTTGAACCACTAACATCAGTCAAACCAACACGATTCAAACTCCTTTAAAGTATTGATTGTATCCTTCAACAACGCACTGTCTTATCTGAGAGAAAACACGAGGTGCTTTTCTGGCGACCATCCATTCATTCTTATCAGGAATCCAACCGTTGTAATTATTCGTAGTCAACATGAACGTTTCACACTCGTGCTCAGGCTTCTCCTCATCCTGTACGGCGACATAGAAATTCCCGCCATTCGTTGCGCGGACGATACCGTCGGCCCCTGCAGGCCTAGAGGGATATGTTGAATCCAGAAAGAAAATCCCAAAAGCCTTTTTTCCAAACCAATCATTGTTTTCGTACGGGGGAGAGCAATACAAAATGTAATCTCGACTCGAGAGAGGAAAGGATAGAGGGATTACTGAGCGAAGAATACACCCGCCATTTGGTAGCCTCTCCAATAGCTCCAAAGCTAAAATTATACAAATCATTTAGGTTTTTCTGTTGATGATTATGCAGCCAGACTTCGATCCTATTTTACGACCCTATGTTATATCGTAGTTATTTCGAAAGGCATTGTTGAATAAAAATCAGTGATCTTAGTGACGCTGCTAAATGCGAAATATTTCGCATGTTTCTTCTGAATTGTGCGCATTTGAATAAATTGAATCTGCTTGATCGCTCACATTTCAAAAGAAGCAGGTGAAATATTTCGCATTATGCTAGAAAACTTCGCCCGTGGAATCAGGCTTCACTATATTGTGGTCTTTTACCGTAATTAATTTTACCGTACCATTAATCAATGTAATCAAAAGTAATGTTCTCACCTGTGGTTGTATCCCATTTTGAGCGTAATTCCAGATTCTTCGGGCTCATCATCTCGATAAATGTCTCGGCGGACATCGGCATATTCTTGAAGCAGTAAACTGTTTTTACAGGCACATCTTCGCTCGGAAACGTTTTGCTCCAGGAATTAAACTTATTTGGAACATGATATCTTTGGGTCCAACCTTTGCCTTCTTCGAGGTCTTTCTTCAGTAATGTTGCCTTTTCCCACGCCATCGTTACGTCCAAATGTGGAGTTTTATTCTCCAAGGTTTCTTCCATGATTGGGGATTGGTTTGATAAATTTTGATATGAGCTGCGTTATACTATCAATTGTAGACTGAAGTCAGACCAAACGCCTCGCATTTTTTATAATCACTAATCACCGGACTGTGAAATCGTTATGCACATGCTCATTGCGTCACAATCGTCATGCACATTTCTTTTTCTCACTTCCTGGTTCTCGCACAACACAAACAGTCGATGACGTATTGTTTGTCATACGACAAAATGCACAATAGAAATACCTCGCAAAGCGGATGCAAAATTCGTCTTTGAATCAAAGCGGACAAAATTTGTCTAAGGCTAAGCGTAGTACTATATTTTTCTGCGCTGTTAAAGTTATTAGTAGCCATAAAGGTAGCTCTTTCGAATGACCAGAGGTCCATTAATGACGTACATGCATGCAAATAGTGCTTCAAGAATGTTATTCATACGTGCCCAGGCTCAAGAATGTTGTTCATACGCACAAAAAGGTTCCCTTCCAACGATTTTAATTTAAACGACGGCATTCAAGGCTGTTGTTTAACTATACCAATAGAAGATGAAAGCTAAGCTTTCGAAAATACTAATACACTGATTATGATTTAAAAATGACCTTTCAGTTCAATAAGGACTGTTTGTTTGACTTAAATATGTAATACCGTCCACGACATAAGGTGTTACGTCAGTGTCCTCTTCAGCCAGACGAGGTACGCGGCCAGACATGAGCTCTTGAAATACCTTAAACAATACAAGTAGGAAATTAGACAACTGCCTACACGTATCATTCGTTGCGTTTTCAAAAGTTTGCGGTTACACTACGCGTCTTGACGTCTTCGCCTGATACACGTGGACGCTTAGCGCAACCGCAAACGTTGTACTTACGTTGCATACAGGCTCCAACAACTTATTTCCCCATATATAAATACGCCTTAAACTTGAATTCGTTTTCATCGTCTTCGCCAGAGAACACAGACCCCTCGTTGCAATTTTGTTGCTACAAACGACTAGACTAAAAGATCACGAACAATTTCAACCTGAATTCAACTTAAATTGATCTTCCTTTTATAACGTTACATTCACTCACGTTTGTAACTTGGTATTGCTATAGGCAAGCGCTTCACTTAATGCACAAGCTCCGTCATCTTCAATTCGATTGCAAGCTAAATTTAATATTTCCAGGGGGGTATCCTTCTTTAGTAATTTTCCAAGGCATCTTGCACCATCCCGAGTGACGCGGTTACTACAAAACCATGATTAAAATCATAAATATACTAAAAACAATAATATAGACAATATTTCGTCTACTGGATATATTTCTGTATAATAATCACATTATCTCAACTATCATAACATTACTAAATTTGTCGTTCAACCGCGAAACGTTTCCACCAACGCCATAAACTAGCAGCAGTTTGTGATACAATTAATCAAAACAGAAACCCACCATCTTAGATCTAAGTGTTTTAACCCAGTATTATAAACCAAGTTTTCAGCCAGCCTTTCAGCACCAAAATCCCGAATACCACATTTTGCAAGGTGGATTTCCTCCAATGATCTGTTTACCTGGTTATTAAGATTGATACAACAATAAATGCTACGCATGCTAAACCGTGAAGCCCTGGGGATGAGGGCGATGTGTGGCATATCACACAAGAGTGACCTACGACCCTAGAACATCGATGAATCAAAGGTTAGTTATCATTCAGAGCGGGAGCTTTAACTTTATTAACGTTTTTTTAAAAAATAACTTCACACATACTTTTAGCATACCAGCAATGTGCACGATGATAGATTCTTCCTAAAAACATTCATGCCGCAGTTGATAAATACCGTGATACTCGACAGACAAACGTATTATACAATTGATCTAATCGGTTTTATAATCAACCACGAAGTAGTCACCTCTATCGAGGTGACTTTTGTAAGACTCCAGATGCCAGTTCTCAAATGTAAAACGAAAGATGATAACATCTTCGTTGGCATGCTTCCACTTAATATACTTGAATGACAAAGGGATAAACTGATTACCTGTGAAGGGTGAACTATCGGTCGATTTATGTTGAGGACTTTCAGTGAATTGTTATATTTTAAAACTGTTGAGATTGCTACACAGCTTTCGGTGCCCTGCAAAGAATTCACATAAAACATTGCAGGAGTTCCTTGCTATACAAAATATGGTTTCAATAGCGGCGAAGGGATACGGTAACCAGTCTATTTTCAAGACAGACGATCAAGTCGGTAGTACAACTTAACAAGTTGATATGTTGTTAATAACAAGCTCATCTCTTACCATATCAGTGTCGGCCATATCTAATTCCTGTAGTATTGTGTTGACCTGAAGTGACCCAGCGATTGCTAATGCTCCTTTGTTACATATCTTATTCCCATTTAATTTTAAAACCAACAGCGTCTCATTCATCTGGCGTAAGAAAATTACTATATCGAATTCGTTTTTGTAATTTGTAATTTGTAATTTAATAGCTTCACCGTCAAAAATACAAATACTATAATAAAAGACAAGCACAAGAACTAAGTTAACAAACAGGACGGTAGGGTGGCCGCAACAGCGATAGATGGATACCTGAAGTCCTTTCGCGAGATCCAACGCACCTTCGGATGTGATGTCGTTATAAGATAAAACAAGTTCTTTGAGAATAAGCGTTTCCTGAAGAAAGCAAATTTGATACACTTTATCTACCGTGCCTTTCTACCCCCAAAAATTATATTTTTCTAAATCGTCTAGTCCGTTGCAGAAAGTGCTGTTCACAATTCCAAAATCTATCAAATCAACACAATTTGGTGCCTTCATAGAAGGGGTCGTAACGGCGATATATTTGGGGCGGGGTCCTCACAGAGCGCATGCACAGAATCGACTTGGTTACCTGAAGTAGTGTGGACAAGATTTTCGCACCAGCATCTGTTACACTGTTATATCCCAGGTCTAAACCGACCACGAATGTGTTGCATTGAAGCGTTCTACAGAGCGTGTCCACGTCCTACAGTTGATGGAATAATTATAAGGAAAGAAATATATGTCAAAGTCACTTTCTAGCATTTCAAGAAATTTATTCATATTTTTCCACGAAAGCATTGCTGTTTCCAGATCTCCTGTAGCTGTGCAGAACTGTATCTACTAGTATGTAGAGGGAAGTGCGACTATTTTTGTACCATCCTATCTAACTTGCAAGCATAAACTGATCAATAACTGTTTTGCATTTGCCACTAAAAAGAAGTGTTTGGTACGAAAAGGACGCACCAACCTGGTCATTTAGTTTCCTTCTATATTTTTCATTTTGCACATTTCGTTTATTTGCGTGGAGCTTTAAAGTGCAAAATTCTGTCTGCTCTCTATAATCATGTGTGGAAAAAATAAGCCGAATGTTAGTTCGCAAAATATGTCATAATGTATCGAGCAAGAACGCTATTCACGCAATAATTACTCGAAAGTATTTACTACTCACAGTATCTGTTCGTCTATAGCGTGGTTTACAACAGCCAATATCTCACCATCGGGGTCTCTTCCTGTCTCAGAACAAACGCGAAAATACGCTGCCTTTGTTGTAGGACCGTCTGTCATAATTTACTTTGAAAAAACTGCGCGTTCAACCCAAAATTTCAGTCGAAGTAAAACGATAAACAAACCCACTCCTATCGGGTCGCCATATTGTTAGAATTTAATTAGCAAATGTTGGCATGCCAACGTCAACTTATGACGTCACGAACGTCGAACTTCCACGTAAACTTCCGATGATAATTATAGGATTTTCTCTGAAAATATCACGCAAGGTAAATACTGATAAATACAATTCTATCAGAAAGGATATTGTCTACAGTGGTTCAGGCTTACAAACAGTGCTTACAAAGCTTAGTTTTTCGAAGTTTAATGAACAAATTTGCATCGATCCGAACGAAAGATTTAAATACATTTTAATACATTTCCGAATGTCGTACTAATCCGAAGAATTCCCGACGGGAAATGTGCAATGCACACACGATGACCTATATGTACGTGCGTACGACTGGATAATGAACAATAATTTTTTGCGTTTTATCGAGTTTAAATTTTTGCAAATACGTGTTTTCAATAATCATAAGCTTAGTCAAGTCTTAAATATTTACAAATCACCCTAAGCAAATACCCTCCTACATGTATTTACCTCGAAGCGTTGCCGTTTATTTAACATGTTTACAAACAAACGAGATTGGATTGAGTTGTTTAGCGGTCGCTATGGCAACCACGAAATGATATCAAATTTCTCATTCTTGTGTGTGCAGTTCTAAGTTCATAGGTGATTTTTGTAGCCGTATCGTTAAACTCCTCGTTTTTCTTCATTTTAAAACCCTTTCGTATCTTGGGACAGGATAAATAACAAAAGGACCCGCTCCGGTATAAAGGTATGTTGAAAAACCTTTTTGTTTTGATCATTTACACTTCTGGGGGTCGGGAAAAATCAGCATACTTCTATACAAGATGCAAGTAAGGGAGATTTTAATCGGATTTAATACCCTGTCCGCCTGTTAGGATATTTTAGTTTATGTTCTCTATATTTAAAGGCTTTTTTAACACGGTGAAGCGAAGATATAACAGGGGTCTTTTAAATCAAAACTCGTTTATAATATTGTTTTAAAGAGCTAGGGTTATGACCGAATGTTTATACACAATCTATGATCTCATCATCATGTACTCGTCTTAGTGAATATTTCTAAGGGGTTTCTCGCTTTTTTCGAAAGCAAATCCTCACTAGTAGTCAATGAACCGCGAGAGCATGGTAAAAGGCGATTAAAAACGCAAGAACGCTCGGAAAAAAGTTGTCGGTTTTTGTTCTAGTTTCGCGGGAGTTCAAGGTCTCTATTGAATGGTATAATTTTTTGGTTTGTCAGAATGTTAATGGCCTTAGAGGATTAAAATAGCCTTAAGGAATAAATATAGCTAAGCCAGGCTTGGTCTGAGTCAAAACATAATAAAATCTTTCTATGAATGAAAGATTTGGGGGAGATTGTGCCCAGGAGACCAATTGATTAGCGTGAACGTTTTAGTAATTATATTCCTTACACTGATAAGGAAATGATTGGCAAAGGGAAAGTGCATCATCAATAAAAGTACTGTTCTGTTTTTTTTAAAGGTATGGATACAAGCGATAGGTCAAGAGAAGGTATATAATTTTCATTCCTGCTGTGCAAAGACAACTAATGTACCCATCCTTAAGTTCCACTTGTACAGATCCTAAAATGAAACTCATTTATTTCAGGTCATATTCAGCTACAAATTGAATATGGTTCGCAGCATGGTCAAGTGCAAGTTAATGTCATAGAGATAAATAGTCTTATTTTACCAGCAGGTACTTTGGAAATGTTTTGAGTAATAATAATTCATGAGTGTGCTATTCACAATTGCTCTGGGATGACAATTATTGCTTTGTTTTAGTTAAACGACTCGGGATCTCGCATGTGTATGTTAAAAGTCACCTCCTGAATGAGAAAGCGAAAGAACTGCTTAAAACGAAAAGTTCTATCAAAGGTTACTTCCTACCAGATTCATCAAAAGAAACTAAAAGGAAGACCGAAGAGGTCAAATTGACACTCTCCTGTCAGGACTCATCTCATGGGTTTGAAAAAGTGGATGAAACATCTCGAAAAAATAAGATACGAAAAGCACTACAAAAACAAAGAGAACGGTTTAGATTGAGGCGAAACTCTGATAAAGGTGTGCACCTGAAATTATGCTTCATACACAATACTTTATCCAGGGCTTTATAAATTTTTTTTTCTTACTCCAGTTAAAACAGTGGTCAACACAGCAAATGATGATGATGATGGTCGAGCCACCCTATCCTTTGAAAGACCATTGCATTACCCATCAGTTTCCCTCTACCAACTGCAGACGCAATGTCTCCACCTCACAGTCTGTGGTCGGAATGTGACGACCACACGAAGTTACCCCATAGCAACAACATGCATACCACTGATGATTGCAATCAAGCAGCACCAACCAACCTGGTATCAGTTGTCGTATAATCCTGATTTAAACAATGGAAAACAAGAATCCAGCACAACCGTACAAGAAACGTGGGACAAAAATGAAGGTCTGGATGCAAAAGATATAAATTCATTTACTAACTTCTTGTCCATAAACTGGACTGACCACTCAAATTCAGTGAACTAAACTTATCTTCCAGACAAAGCCTACAGGGGTAACAGTTCAGGGGCAAATTTCTAGTTGCATGTAGCTTATCGTCATTCTAATAAACAGTTTTCTCCAACAATTAGAGCTATCCAGTATATATATACAGTTCTCAAGTAGTATCGTATTTTTTCTCTTAAGGTGGTACCTACACCGGCAGAAGCCTAGCATGGAACCGAGGCGAGACGAAAGACTCGGGTTCAGAAAACTGGCTGTATAAGCGTAAAGACTACAGCAGACATTTGCTTCCTGCTAAGCAGAGAAGACAGCCGGCTACAAAATCATCGCTGCACACCAATATTTCGGGTCAGGATAAATTCCTAAGGCCGTCCAGGCACGGTGAATTCAAGCAATCGGATTCCGGAGTAGGTTTAGACAGACTTGGTCGCCAGGAGAGCATCGAGGAATTGTATTTTGATGACGCAACACAACAGGAACAATTTGGTTCGCGAAATTTACGACCGCTTCAAAAGCAATGGAAATCAGAATTCGTAATTTGCGGTTCGACTTTGGACACAAAACGAACAAGTAATGGCGCGAATTTAGATTTGAGTTCATTATCATTGAATGGATCTTTGAATCGCAAACCTTACGGTGAATCTATTCGCGGATTTTGAATGTAATTTTATAAATGGGTTTATTTAAAAAAAATAAACGTAGTATATATAGTCAATTTTCAGTAACATCTCGCTCTTGGCTTGACATTAAATTTCTGAGGGTGTAGTTCAAACCTGCATGTGGTAATGATTAGAAAATTGCCAGATTGCATTCTCATTATTAACTCTGAAAGATCTACTGCATGTTGTTAGCTGGTACCAATGGTGCTTGGTGTATTTTAAAAAACTAATAAAATCTGCCGATGTTATGTAGAATTTTTAATACTAAAGGCATATCCTTTCCTGAAACGCGGTGAACCAATTTTTTAACAACGTAAAGCTAGTTTATATCTTTTTAAATAGAAAATTTCATTGTATCAATGTAATATAGAAATATCAATAAATGAATGTGCATTCAATATATTTTCATCCTTCAACGACAATAAGAACAAATACGGCCCGTTTATAATTTATATCCTGTGTCATTTTGTGTTCAATGTACTTCACAATGCATGCATGAAATCACTCTTTAAGAGTTCTTCATCGTATCACACAAGTTGACCAATGACATGCCATTACCGAGCTATATTAGAGCTATATAATATAGCTCAATACAGCCCATCCTTAAGTCGTCATACGCACGAATTCAATTACGTCAGCTTGCGTTGACCTTATCTTTTCGTAGTACTGATTTTGAAGTATTTCGGGTTGTTTTACCTGCAGCCGCTTTACCTTTCGTACCTTTTGCTCGAAGACTCGTCATACTGGCGAATGGGGGCATCTTGTTACCTAAAGTGAAAGCAAAACCTTGCTTAGTGCATTAGTTAAAACAAGAGGGTACTGGACCTACCATAACAATCCAATCCAGCGGTGCTGGGCTCAGGTTAACAATATACGTAACACGTGCATGCAAATAAATTTCTGAACTATATTTCTACCTTGTTGTTTAAGTTGCTGCAGACGTTTGGTGTTTGGTTGGCACTGCCTGGTTAGATGAACCCGCCATGCCTAAAACATCAACAGTGAATTCAATTATAGTAAGAATTGAAGCAGACAGTGAGAACAGTTACAATTATTTACCATTATTACCTCTTCACTAGAGCCAACGGCTTTTCTGCATAACGGACATCTATTCCCAGATTTTTCTAAAAGTCATGAAAAAAAGACACTTAAAACAGGCATCAAAAATACTTCTGGCAGGTATTTTAGTGTCCCACCCTGTCCCAGCAAGATAACGAAGAAATATTTGCCGGTTTTACACAACAGACGTACTGAATGCAAAATAAACTTTGCTTATATTGAGAATTCGTAATTCCAAAAAAAAACCATTGGGAAACTGGAACTAGAAACAATCTACGACTGCAGTCGACGTAATAAACTAATTACGACGTCAACAATTTCATTATAGCTTCATTGGCATGTACGAGTGACATTGCAAAAATGGAGCGAGCTAAACTGTTGATAATTGTTTTCTTAGGAGTGCTGACATTCCTGTTTGAATGTCCAACCGGCAGTGTTGCTGCCAGAATCTGCCCATTGCGGGCTGAACCCGTTTATCCTGCACAGGAAAACGGCATTTTGCGGTGCGCGTGCAAGCGCCCGTTCTTTGGGACGAATTGTCGCTACAAACGTAAGATGAATACAGTAATTTCTTGTGTTCTTTCAGACTTCTTTTATAATAACATCATTATTTCTTTTAGAGCAAAATGGAACCATTGCGCTGAACGCGACAAGACTGACCAAGGAGTCGGTGTTGATGAAATGGAAAGAGAATGCCGAGCCGAATGAAGGGCGAAGATACTTGATATCTGTTCGCAAAGTTGAGTTCAAACTCTCAACTGTCAAACTTCATAAATGGCAGAAGGCATCCATCAAGTACATGGAACCTAACAACACCCTGTTCAAGTCTCAACAAGAGACAGAATCAAGCGACGACCTCAGTGCGAAGGAAATGTATACTGACTATACTGCTGTTCTTCGACTGCCAGGGACGTCTTCATACGAGGTCAAGATCACTACTCCTCGGACGCTGGAACCGCTGGAAACCATGTTGGGTCAACATCTGCAATCTTTGATGCCTCGGACGCTTTTGTGAATGGTGAGTGGGAATGATTTGGAAGCAAAAGTAATAAGATTTGGATTTACTGTTCCTCAAAATTTTTGAAAAAATTTTTTTTCAGGAACAATGCTGGGCATTTCAGAGAAAATGGACCAATTTAAGAACTATCTTTTTGAAAGCTTTGAGGACGGCTGCGCTCTTAAAGGAATGGTAATCGGTGTTGTTGTTGGAACTCTTGCAACACTGATTATCATAACCATGGTATATGTCCTCAGCAGGTATTAACAGCAAGCACTTTGAAGTAACAGCAAAGAAAACAACCCCCAACCAATGGCAACGTGTAGTTTAACAAAATTTATGATTTTATGTTGCAGATATTGCTGTAAATGCGTAAGATATTGCTGCAAGAAACGCGGTAACAATTCTGGTGTAAAACTGAATAGAAGTGGGCAGACATCAAGCACTAAAACACCTGAACCTTATGTCATTATTGATATATACGGCTTTGACGTAAGTTTGGCATTATTTCCTGCAACAGGGGAATAAGTCAACGGTTTAAAAGCTAATTCAAATATTTTCAACAGCCTATCCAGCAGATACAACTGAAGTAAACTCAACGAGCAGAGACCAAAGAGTGTGTGATTGTTGAAGTCGACAACGCAGCTTACAGTCCAGCCGAAATGGTGTGGTTAAAGAGGATGAACCTCAAGCAGAGGGCGAATCACATGATGATGGAGAGACTGCAAAACGTGCACAACATGAAGTTACTGTTGAGCCAGAAACCATCAATAGCGAGGACGAACCTCGCAGCATTTGAGGATTGAAGACAGATCCTGAGGGGGGAGGGAACATAACTGCAGTATTAACGGACACAGATTACAGTAACATATATGTTAAATGGTATAAATTTCTTCTTGTACAGTATTGATTGTAATGATATATGATATTTGATTAAAATTTTTAAAACTTTATACATGGTATTGTTGTTGGAGTTTGATCCGTTTACACCACCGTGATTTTAACTCTAATCTATATCTTAATCTCAATCTAATCCTAAACCCAATGCTTTTATGCTAAAAATGCACAACAGAGGTTTACCCCAGAGACTGGCAAGTCATGAAAACCATCTAGAGGGATGGAACTAGAAATAACCCAACGATTTATTAGTGACGTTATAATTTCATTACGACGTCAACAATTTCATTATAGCTTCATTGGCATGTACGAGTGACATTGCAAAAATGGAGCGAGCTAAACTGTTGATAATTGTTTTCTTAGGAGTGCTGACATTCCTGTTTGAATGTCCAACCGGCAGTGTTGCTGCCAGAATCTGCCCATTGCGGGCTGAACCCGTTTATCCTGCACAGGAAAACGGCATTTTGCGGTGCGCGTGCAAGCGCCCGTTCTTTGGGACGAATTGTCGCTACAAACGTAAGATGAATACAGTAATTTCTTGTGTTCTTTCAGACTTCTTTTATAATAACATCATTTCTTTTAGAGCAAAATGGAACCATTGCGCTGAACGCGACAAGACTGACCAAGGAGTCGGTGTTGATGAAATGGAAAGAGAATGCCGAGCCGAATGAAGGGCGAAGATACTTGATATCTGTTCGCAAAGTTGAGTTCAAACTCTCAACTGTCAAACTTCATAAATGGCAGAAGGCATCCATCAAGTACATGGAACCTAACAACACCCTGTTCAAGTCTCAACAAGAGACAGAATCAAGCGACGACCTCAGTGCGAAGGAAATGTATACTGACTATACTGCTGTTCTTCGACTGCCAGGGACGTCTTCATACGAGGTCAAGATCACTACTCTCTCGGACGCTGGAACCGCTGGAAACCATGTTGGGTCAACATCTGCAATCTTTGATGCCTCGGACGCTTTTGTGAATGGTGAGTGGGAATGATTTGGAAGCAAAAGTAATAAGATTTGGATTTACTGTTCCTCAAAACTTTTGAAAAATTTTTTTTCAGGAACAATGCTGGGCATTTCAGAGAAAATGGACCAATTTAAGAACTATCTTTTTGAAAGCTTTGAGGACGGCTGCGCTCTTAAAGGAATGGTAATCGGTGTTGTTGTTGGAACTCTTGCAACACTGATTATCATAACCATGGTATATGTCCTCAGCAGGTATTAACAGCAAGCACTTTGAAGTAACAGCAAAGAAAACAAACCCCAACCAATGGCAACGTGTAGTTTAACAAAATATTATGATTTATGTTGCAGATATTGCTGTAAATGCGTAAGATATTGCTGCAAGAAACGCGGTAACAATTCTGGTGTAAAACTGAATAGAAGTGGGCAGACATCAAGCACTAAAACACCTGAACCTTATGTCATTATTGATATATACGGCTTTGACGTAAGTTTGGCATTATTTCCTGCAACAGGGGAATAAGTCAACGGTTTAAAAGCTAATTCAAATATTTTCAACAGCCTATTCCAGCAGATACAACTGAAGTAACTCAACGAGCAGAGACCAAAGAGTGTGTGATTGTTGAAGTCGACAACGCAGCTTACAGTCCAGCCGATAATGGTGTGGTTAAAGAGGATGAACCTCAAGCAGAGGGCGAATCACATGATGATGGAGAGACTGCAAAACGTGCACAACATGAAGTTACTGTTGAGCCAGAAACCATCAATAGCGAGGACGAACCTCGCAGCATTTGAGGATTGAAGACAGATCCTGAGGGGGGAGGGAACATAACTGCAGTATTAACGGACACAGATTACAGTAACATATATGTTAAATGGTATAAATTTCTTCTTGTACAGTATTGATTGTAATGATATATGATATTTGATTAAAATTTTTAAAACTTTATACATGGTATTGTTGTTGGAGTTTGACCCGTTTACACCACCGTGATTTTAACTCTAATCTATATCTTAATCTCAATCTAATCCTAAACCCAATGCTTTTATGCTAAAAATGCACAACAGATGTTTACCCCAGAGACTGACAAGTCATGAAAACCATCGAGAGGGATGGAACTAGAAATAACCCAACGATTTATTAGTGACGTTATAATTTCATTACGACGTCAACAATTTCATTATAGCTTCATTGGCATGTACGAGTGACATTGCAAAAATGGAGCGAGCTAAACTGTTGATAATTGTTTTCTTAGGAGTGCTGACATTCCTGTTTGAATGTCCAACCGGCAGTGTTGCTGCCAGAATCTGCCCATTGCGGGCTGAACCCGTTTATCCTGCAAAGGAAAACGGCATTTTGCGGTGCGCGTGCAAGCGCCCGTTCTTTGGGACGAATTGTCGCTACAAACGTAAGATGAATACAGCAATTTCTTGTGTTCTTTCAGACTTCTTTTATAATAACATCATTATTTCTTTTAGAGCAAAATGGAACCATTGCGCTGAACGCGACAAGACTGACCAAGGAGTCGGTGTTGATGAAATGGAAAGAGAATGCCGAGCCGAATGAAGGGCGAAGATACTTGATATCTGTTCGCAAAGTTGAGTTCAAACTCTCAACTGTCAAACTTCATAAATGGCAGAAGGCATCCATCGAGTACATGGAACCTAACAACACCCTGTTTAAGTCTCAACAAGAGACAAAATCAAGCGACGACCTCAATGCGAAGGAAATGTATACTGAATATACTGCTGTTCTTCGACTGCCAGCGACGTCCTCATACGAGGTCAAGATCACTACTCTCTCGGACGCTGGAACCGCTGGAAACCATGTTGGGTCAACATCTGCAATCTTTGATGCCTCGGACGCTTTTGTGAATGGTGAGTGGGAATGATTTGGAAGGAAAACTAATAAGATTTGGATTTACTGTTCCTCAAAACTTTTGAAAAATTATTTTTTCAGGAACAATGCTGGGCATTTCAGAGAAGATGGACCAATTTAAGAACTATATTTTTGAGAGCTTTGAGGACGACTGCGCTCTTAAAGGAATGGTAATCGGTGTTGTTGTTGGAACTCTTGCAACACTGATTATCATAACCATGGTATATGTCCTCAGCAGGTATTAACAGCAAGCACTTTGAAGTAACAGCAAAGAAAACAAACCCCAACCAATGGCAACGTGCAGTTTAACAAAATATTATGATTTATGTTGCAGATATTGCTGTAAGTGCGTAAGATATTGCTGCAAGAAACGCGGTAACAATTCTGGTGTAAAACTGAATAGAAGTGGGCAGACATCAAGCACTAAAACACCTGAACCTTATGTCATTATTGATATATACGGCTTTGACGTAAGTTTGGCATTATTTCCTGCAACAGGGGAATAAGTCAACGGTTTAAAAGCTAATTCAAATATTTTCAACAGCCTGTTCCAGCAGATACAACTGAAGTAACTCAACGAGCAGAGAGCAAAGAGTGCGTGATTGTTGAAGTCGACAACGCAGCTTACAGTCCAGCCGATAATGGTGTGGTTAAAGAGGATGAACCTCAAGCAGAGGGCGAATCACATGATGATGGAGAGACTGCAAAACGTGCACAACATGAAGTTACTGTTGAGCCAGAAACCATCAATAGCGAGAACGAAGCTCGCAGCATTTGAGGATTGAAGACAGATCCTGACGGGGGGGAGGGAACATAACTGCAGTATTAACGGACACAGATTACAGTAACATATATGTTAAATGGTATAAATTTCTTCTTGTACAGTATTGATTGTAATGATATATGATATTTGATTAAAATTTTTAAAACTTCATACATGGTATTGTTGTTCGAGTTTGACCCGTTTACACCACCGTGATTTTAACTCTAATCTATATCTTAATCTCAATCTAATCCTAAACCCAATGCTTTTATGCTAAAAATGCACAACAGATAGAGGTTTACCCCAGAGACTGGCAAGTCATGAAAACCCTCTGAGGGATGGAACTAGAAACAAGCCAACGATTTATTAGTGACGTTATAATTTCATTACGACGTCAACAATTTCATTATAGCTTCATTCGCATGTACGAGTGACATTGCAAAAATGGAGCGAGCTAAACTGTTGTTAATTGTTTTCTTAGGAGTGCTGACATTCCTGTTTGAATGTCCAACCGGCAGTGTTGCTGCCAGAATCTGCCCATTGCGGGCTGAACCCGTTTATCCTGCACAGGAAAACGGCATTTTGCGGTGCGCGTGTGCGCGCCCGTACTTTGGGATGAATTGTCGCTACAAACGTAAGATGAATACAGCAATTTCTTGTTTTCTTTCAGACTTCTTTTATAATAACATCATTATTTCTTTTAGAGCAAAATGGAACCATTGCGCTGAACGCGACAAGACTGACCAAGGAGTCGGTGTTGATGAAATGGAAAGAGAATGCCGAGCCGAATGAAGGGCGAAGATACTTGATATCTGTTCGCAAAGTTGAGTTCAAACTCTCAACTGTCAAACTTCATAAATGGCAGAAGGCATCCATCGAGTACATGGAACCTAACAACACCCTGTTCAAGTCTCAACAAGAGACAGAATCAAGCGACGACCTCAGTGCGAAGGAAATGTATACTGACTATACTGCTGTTCTTCGACTGCCAGGGACGTCTTCATACGAGGTCAAGATCACTACTCTTTCGGACGCTGGAACCGCTGGTAACCATGTCGGGTCAACATCTGCCATCTTTGATGCCTCGGACGCTTTTGTGAATGGTGAGTAGCAAACAATGATAAAGCTTTTATTTTCATACAGATTTTAACCAATTTTCGGATGTCTTTCCGCTATTTCTTTCAGGAACAATGCTGGGAATTACCGACAGCTTTGAAGGGTTAAAGAACCTTGTTGTGGCGAGCTTTCATGACGACTGTGCAATCAAGGGAATTGTGACTGGTGTTGTCATGGGATCGCTGGGTACCTTGATGTTGGTAGCCACTGCGTACACTCTTCACAGGTACACAGTTTGCGAGAGGAAACTTTGGTAATTTTGTCTTGATGGTTAATTTTTTCTTTCAAAATTTATTTCAGGTATTGCTGCAAGTGTGGTAATAGATGCCGTGGTTTGGGCCGAAATGACAAGTCTGATTCTCAGAAACAGGAGAATCCATCGAATATAGCCAGCACAGAAGAAGATGGGAGTTGCAAAGAGTTTGAACAACTTTCTGAATCAACTTCTTCATACGTGGTAATCGAGATGGAAGACATTGAAGTTAGTTTCATAGTTCAATACATAAATACTGTACAGGAAATTTTCTCAGGCAGCTAACGCAGAATTTCTGTCTCATTCATCTTAACTTTATCACCCAATATTTATTGAGAGTGATTTTGTTTTACAGCTTGTTGAGATGGAGAAGGAACTTGTTGTCGAAGAGGTCGATAACCTCGCTCTCAGCCCAGAAGAACCAGAAGATATCTCACAAAAGGCTACACCAGAGAAGTCAGTAATCTTGGATATCCCTGAGACTGTCATAGACGGTGATGAACCCGCGAAGCCCGAGCCAACAGCTGTTGCCAGCGGTCAAGAAGTGACCAACACAACCGAAGCTTAAAGCCTCGCACTATTTGGGATGATTCATAGCGCTGAGTGAAAAACTGTTTTTAAGGGGGGAGGGTGAGATACATACACTGCTACCTTAGGGGGGTGGGGAGAAAGACAGCTATGCATGATAATAGGATATGGTATCGTGTTTTTTTAACTGGTTAACTGTAATGAATTTTTGGAGATATTTTTTGTAACTATATGGTATGCATGAACCTAATGTGAAATGAATTAAAATAAAAAACAAAACTGATGGTTTAGTGTTGGTATTTCGATAGTTATATTAAAAGTCCTACTACAATGATACTTACTTGGGCAAATTTTGTCGTGACTGTGATTATTCAACTCAAGCTTCGGCACAGCCTCCTTGCATCGGGGACAAGAAACAAAATTAGCTTTGGATTCGCATTCCTCAAGAAGGTGCTGACTTTGACGACAAATTTCGATGACCTAAAAATAGAAATACGCGCAGATACATAAGAGACCGTTTCGTACACAACACTTTTCTCTCGTCTGTGTGTCCGTTCACCTGCGAGCACTTTGGACATCGTTTCAACATCGGGCAAGATTTCCAGTAGTGCGTGTCCAAAACTTCCTCTGTGAATGTTTCATCTTTAATACCACAGAAAATGCACATCCTGTTTACGAAAATGATGATTCAAATGAATTCCTTTTATTGTGAAAGAGCAAGTTTTGGTGTTAAACTTCAACAAATCATAACAAATAAAGATTATCATCACGTGACCTGTCCACGTCACTTGGTTTCGGCATGTTGGAAGAATCAACAGCGGACTGATCTAAGAGAAAAAAAGTGTCGCGAATATTTCATCTAATAAGAGGCAAACACAAGCAGATTTACAAACGTTTGCAATGTGCGAAGTACTATACTACCCAACACGTTAAAACTGCAACGCGAGGGCCCTGGTATATCACCTTTTATTACTTTAGCATGTCATTGTATACTTCATGTTA